TCACTTATCCGTTCTTTTGATTCCTTTTTATTATAATCTGGATATGAACAAGAACATAGACTATAAAACCCTCATAATCTCGGTAAAGGTCTGCTTTAGACAAACCAACACAGAGCTTATCGCGTTTGAAGCATCAGACTTTCATCATTTAATAGAAGTGCAAAACGTTTCATCTTCCATGCACATATCCAAACCAAACATAAGCAGACACATACAACACACAAGCACATATATGATCATATACATACGAATTTTGTTATATACAATGTTTGACAACTGATCGTCTAATTTGGCGCAAAAAGTTGATGGCAAAGAAAACAACGTCCTACCTCGGAAAACTGGGTCTCTGGACGCTAAACGAAGATAGATATATTTGTTTGATTTGATCTTCAAAAAACAATAAATATAAACATTTAAATATTGAGAATTAGTGTGACTACAAAAAATTGTTAATAATTCACCAAAGCACAGCCACCTTAACAAAATAATTCCGATAATTTTCTTGATTGTTTAATGTTTGAAATTATCAATGTTTGACAAAGGTTATTTATCGCATTGCGATCATGAAGTACCAGAAAAATTTAGAATTTAAATATATATAATGTCTTTAATTAAATTTGACAGTTTCGCGTTTCTTCCATGAAGAAAAAATTCAGTCTTTGTTTAATGTTGTTGAGTTGTAGTTGAAACCGCTTTTGATGATATTGTTCAAAACTCTTGAACCTCTGCATTTATTATGTGAAAAATTATGTTTACTAGTACCTCTGATATAAAAGTCATGCCAGTAAATATAGTGGGTTCTACCAGGCAGGTAGCTGTAGAGCCATTTCAACGGTTTAACTCGTATTGCGTACTGTTCTAACTTTCCCTAAAGAATAGTGTAATCGATACAGTCAAATGCTTTAGACAAGAACCAACGATTTAATTTTTCTGCTTTGCAGACACCTATTTTCTTTAACATTTCAACAAAAGCCAACTTTGTAGAATGTTTATTTCGAAAACCAAACTGGCTATTTGATAAAACATTATTTAATTCCGGTAAGTTTAAAATTGTTAAATTCATCAGTTTTTCCAATATCATTGAAAAACTTCGTAGTAGAGATATTGGTCAGATGGTTTCCACATCATTATTACCAGCTACATGCACATACATACGTATGAACATACAGCAGTTTTGATTTTCTGTTTTATTAATGTTTATACGCTTAATTTTCAGGTCAGAAACATGCATAATAGAAACACCCAGCCATCGGTTTAGCCAGCCCACCTACAAAACCATTCAACACATATATAGAGTATATACTATTCTATATATATAAATGAAGAAAATATAAATGAAGAAAATCTCGCATTGTTATTTTCGAAATCCCCGATTGGACGATTGGAGGGCCATGCCAAGATGATAATATAGAAACGCTGTTAGAGATTTTTGTGAATGAACTGAAGAGAATTGCAGACATAATAGCTCCAGAACACGTGGTTGAAAGTCGAGATGATTCGTTGACGCCGTGGTTTGATGTAGATTGTTCAAAGTCCAAGGCATACTGTAGAAAAATGGAAAGAAAGTACAGAAAGACTTTAAATCATCACGGTAGGGAGGTGTAGAAAAATGCTCTGCGATCAGAAAATATTTTATTCGCCCAAAAAAAAAATTTGTTTTTGAAAAAAATCATTTTTGAAAATAACAAAAATCCTAAAAAAATTTGGACTGTGGTAAATAAACTGTTGTGCAAAGAAAAAACTTCAAATCCATCTACCAATTTTGAAGCGAACGATTTTGCTACATTCTTTTATGACAAAATTAAAAATGTACGAGAATCGATGGTGTATGATGAGAAGTTTAATCATTCATCTGGCGTCTGCTGCTGCAGTTTCAGTTTTTCCTGTTTATGATGAAAGCGAAATTGTTGAATCAGTTTTGAACTCTCCATCTAAAACATGTTCACTGGATTGTGTTCCTTCACACTTTTTCAAAAAATATGTAGGATTGTTTTCAAAATATTTGACTGATTTTATAAACTTATGCTTACGTACTGGTGAGTTTCCGGCTATGTTAAAGCATGCTACAATTTCTCCTTTTTTGAAAAAGGAAAAATTAGACAATTCTGATCTTAATAATTATAGACCGGTTTCAAATGTGTCGTTCTTGTCAAAATTAATTGAAAGATTAGTTTCTAAGGAGCTTATAAAACACTTAGATAAAAACAATTTGTTACCGTATATCAGTCAGGTTATAGAAGACATCATTCTACCGAAACTGCTTTGTTGCATGTGTTATCCGAGTTTCATGAAAATATAAACAACAGTAAACCATCTCTTCTTGGATTCTTAAATATGAGTTCGGCATTTGACTGTGTCGACCATTGCATTCTTCTGAAACGTCTTAATAATAGATTTGGAATAACTGGCTCTGTCGAACAATGGTTTCGGTCGTACTTAACAAACAGAACTCAGCAGGTAATCTACAAGAATAAGAGCTCTTAGGTTCAAACGATAAGATTTGGTGTTCCACAGGGCTCGGTTTTCTGACCGATCTTGTTTATTCTTTACACCTCTGAAATTATTGAGGCGATCGGATTACATGGTTTGGAGTGTCATGCATTTGCAGATGATATTCAGCTTTTCGCCACAGAATCCTATAGCAACTTTCATCTTGCAGTTGATCGTTTTGTTAAATGTTTGGTCGAGATCGAGAAATGAATGGAAAATAATCGTCTTAAGCTCAATCAAAGTAAGACGCAATTCTTCTGATTGGAACTTGGCAACAGCTGTCTAGAATTAAAATTAATTCAGTTATCATTGAGGGCTCAAATATAAACTTCATTCCCAAAGCTACAAACTTGGGTGTCATTTTTGATTCTAGACTGGCAATGACTGAACATATCAAGTTTTTATCTGGTACTGCAACCCTACAATTGCGAAAATTAAAAATAATCCGCGAAAGCTTAACCAGAGATGTTATTCAAAGTTTAGTGCATTCGTTTATTCATTCTAGACTGGATTACTGTAACAGCCTATTTTATGGTTTGCCTGAAAAATCGTTATCTGTGCTTCAGTCAATTCAGAATCGGGCAGCTAAGATCGTGGTTGGTGCAAAAAAGTTTGACCATGTTACCCCGATATTCAGAGAACTGCACTGGTTGATGGTCAAAAAAAGAATTTTGTTCAAAATATCAACAATCATGTTCAAATGTATGAAGGGAATGGCGTCAGTTTATTTGAAAGAAATGCATGCACCGAAACAACTGTCTTTTAAAACTGTCTGCTTAAGGTCTGGTGATAGCAACTTGTTATGTGTGCCCCAAACCAACTTAAAAATGGCAGAGAGAAGTTTCTCAGTATGTGGACCAGCCGTTTGGAATAGTCTACCCGAAATGACAGAAAAACTGTTCATAAAATTATTGAAATCATTTTTGTTTTCATTATAAGATTTGGTTTATCGTAGCAATTCAACTGTTTTTTTTAGACAGTGCTTTTGAGAAACATTGTTTGTAATTAGCGCTATACAAATTTTCGAATAATAATAATATGCCATGCAATAACGTCACGAAACAGGTGCAGGGTATCAACCAACTCCTCTAGAGCCTCCCTCAGAACAAAACAATAAAAGATATAGTAAAATCATAGAAAAAAGAATTTAGGCATAGATAATATGGCATTACAATTTCGCAAGCAAGTTACGAAAATAGAAATTATCAAAAAAATTAAAAAAATGAGAAAGCAAAAGTATTTACATGCCAGGAAAAAATCATAACGGGAGCAAAGTTAAAATCAAAATAAGCAGGCAATGTGTTAAAGCAAAATAAAATAAAAATGAAATCAGCAAAATACTTTTTGTATGTTCTTTATTCTGTAGCTTTGACAAAGCAGAACTGCTTACATATTTTTCCACACTCCTAATTAAACCTTCGTGTCACAAAGGGTGGGTGTGTCCAATAATAATATGACAATAATATGAATACCCTGACAATAATATGTCCAACCACACGACGTACATACAAATACGCGCGAGCAACGCACGCATAGTATAATATTATTATTATTAGAGAACCTGTAGAGCGCCTTTTATAGTCACCCAAAGGCGCTCCATGATTTGTGCGAATCAATCCAAGAAGATATGAGTTTTCAATTCCTTACGAAACTGTTGAAGAGTCAATCCCGGCCGACGCAGGTGATGGGGCAAATTATTCCAGATCGAAGGACCAGCAACTGCAAAACTTCTATCAGCAACAGCTAACTTTGTTTTCGGCACCATATTATAAATAACCTTCCAGTTTTTTTATTATTCTTTAAAAATCAGGATCTGACAGACGCAGAAACTGTTACAGCATGCAAGGCAGTAGTACAAAATTAAACGAATAAATAAACGGAGAAAGAAAAAAAATGTTTAAACATGAAAAATAAAATAAAATAGAATAAAAAAAATAAATGATAATAATAAAATTAATAAATAAAAGAAAATAAAATAAATTGACAATAATATGAATTAATGACATAAAAACAGAAATGAATAGACTAGATGATGACTTAGTGAGGTGATCAATAAATAAAAACTAGTTGTGTGAATGATAAAGTTTTATTAAATAAAAACTAGTTGTGCAAATGATAAAGTTTTATTGAGTGTTTATGCTTGAGGTGTCTTGTGATGAGTCTTTTAAAACAGACAATATTCAAACCAGGCCATCGTGCAAAACAGCGCTAAATATGGCTTTTCTACCGACTTAGCCAACTCAGTAAATTATTGATAAATCGGTAAATTATCGGTACATCAGTTAGCTATTGGAACATTGGTGAATTATCAGTTTTTTGGTCTGGTAAATGATTCAGTACCGATGAAAAATTTTATTATCGATGTTGAAATAAGTATTACCCATGTTATTGATATTTTTGGTACTCGGTTCGGTAAAATGTATTCCAAACTAATATACATTACTATCGAATAAAAAATATTCATCGTTTAAAAGAAGTGAATGTATTTATACTAATTTATAAAATTAAAACTATATGTTTACGAACGATGAACGCAATTTGAAATTTACTTTAATTTTATTGTTGGCGTTCCTTAAGCAATTTTTGCTAAAAACTAACTCTTCAAGCGTTTCAGGACCTGACTGTCGGGCCATTGTTTTTTTAAGTTCGTCATATAATAGGTCCTTTTCAATTATTATTTTTTCTTTTTGCACTACTAGCTCAGTTTTCTTTATCAATCTCTTTTGGAGCCACTGCATCTTCAATATCATTTCGTATAAACTGGGATCACTTCCCTGCAAGTGATGGCAAATAATTATTTACAATAAAATAAAAAATTGAACACTTAATGAACATTTTATTTGAAATTTATTTTCATCTTTCCAAATTTAAATTGACTTCTAGCTAAAATTTTAGTATAACTATAAAGACTTTAGAGACCAAATTTTGATACCACTATAATTATTTAATGGTTAAAAAAGGTTAGGTCAATTACACTCTTCCAAACATCGTATATGAATATATGCTAAATGACGCATCACACACGAAGCACGTGAGAGGCGGGGATTTTTTTGTCATATTCAAACCTGGTTATTGCGAAACAGCACCAGGCGATCTTAACCATCACGCCGCCATATATTTGTTCAGATTAATTTGAATTTAGATTTATCAAAGTATACAATGTATATTTTACTTTGTATTTTACTATATATATGCAATTTTATTTACTATGTATGTGCAAAACATCTAAAAAAAGTTGTTAACACTTTATATTTTTTATTGTTAAAAATATTAAAAGCTTGTTTTATTTTTTAAAAATTTATTATTGAACAAATTTTTGCGAACACTCATTTAACAGAATATAAATTTTTGGAGAAATCGCTTTCGTCAAGATAACAAAATACGTTAAAGTTATACGTCAAATCGGAGTTAATTTTGTTTAAAATCAAAATAAGGTCATGTTTAACTGCATGATAAAACTGTATATAATAAATTCACTTTTTGAAAAAGTTAGAAAATGAAGTAGTTTTTTTAGTAAAAAATTGTGAACAGTCAAACTCAATGATACGAAATAAGTAGGTAGAAAGTAGGGATGCACCGAAGTTTGGCCCCGGCTCCGGCCAAAATCCGGCTTTTTTTTGAAATCCGGTCGAATCCGGCCCCGGCCGGATTTGGTGGCCGGATTTAGGGCCGGATTTAAGCGTCTATCAACTTTTAAAAATGTTATAAACAGAAAAAAAATTTTTATTGAATTCAATTAATTTTATGTCAATAAGTTAAAGGCTAAGCTAAAGGCATACATGACACATAATAACAACATCACTAATTGTGAGGTGATCTGGACAATTTTTTTTATGCTATAACATGGGTTATGCATAAATTATAAGCTGATCTTTGTGTAAAAGAACTTGTGCACGTGTATATACTATATATTGATAATTGCACATGAAGGATCATATAGCTACATTATATATATATATATATATATATATATATATATATATATATATATATTTATAATTTAAGAACATGGTAAGTTAAAGGTTAGGCTAGGTATACTAGGTATACATGACACATAATTACAACATCACTAATTGTGCGGTGAGCTGGACGGACAATTTTCTTTGTGCTATAACATGGATTATGCATAGATTATAAGCTGATCTTTGTGTAAAATAACTTGTGCACGTGCATACATGACACATAATATTAACATCACTAATTGTGAGATGAGCTGGACAATTTTCTTTATGGATTATGCATAAATTATAAGCTGATCTTTGTGTACAAAATTTGGCGTATCACAACTTATTCATATATTTGAATTAAATAACTATTTGCTTGGTGTTATGTGATTTTCTTGGTGTTATGTGATTATTTTTTCTAACGTATGTGAAATGGTAACTAAAATCCGGCCCTGGCTCCAGCCGGTTTTTTAATTTTAAATCCGGCCAAGTCCGGCTCCGGCCGGATTTGAAAAACTTGAATCCGGTGCATCTCTAGTAGAAAGGTTTGATTTACAACAGTATCAGTAAAAATATACATTGATACGTCGCAGACGTGATATTTATTTTTGCGAATTAGTATTTTGCTGGCTGGTAGTTTGGATTAAGATACATAAGAACCGTAAACCAACGATAATATTCGTCTTCAGTTTTCATTCACTAGACAAAATTTGTTGTTGCCGGCATTCGTCCTTTGTATCATCTAAACCAGAACGACGCAGGATTTCGGTAGATTTGATGTGGTCCTTCAGACTAATTCGTTGCATCCATCGGAGCATTTTCATATCGGTTCGGTGAAGTTGTTGTACCAGTTTGGTTGTGATTGACCATGTTTCTGCACCATATAACAACACCGGACGTATCACAGATTTATAAAGCCTTGATCGTAGTGATAGTGGGATGTCACGCCGCATCAATACAGAGGCAAGGAGATGCTATTTATTCCAGGCTGCATGTATGCGTGCTCGAACGGCAGCTTCAGCTGTTCCAGTACAATCCAAAACATCTCCTAGATATTAAAACGATGTGACTTTCTCTATCTTAATGGCTTCAAAAACATTGCTATTTCGAATTTGTTGTCGTGGATTGATGCTAACAGGACAAACAAAATTGGACACTTTAGATAAATTAGCAATTATTTTTGAACAACGTTTGTGACACCACTGGTTACACTGCTGACACAGTGCCATCGTCCAGAAGCTGTGGATTGGATGGGTTCACCAGTGTTCATTGCTTTGGTTTTGCTGATGTTGATTTTGAATCCATGATCGGCGAGTCTAATGTTCCAATCTTCAAACATCTGTGCTGCATTCTGCTCAGACGTGGCTGTTAAAACGATATCATCAGCATATATTTGATTCCAAATGTCACCAGTGCGTATCGGTTTTGTGATTTCTTCCATAACAGTTATAAATAACAGTGGACTGAGAATCGAGCCTTGGTGAACTCCAACGCTGATGTCAAATGCATCTGTGTTTCCAACTGTTCTACTGACAAGAGTCTTAGTATTCGTATACATTTCCATCACAAGTCGAACAAGATATTCTGGAATGAGTTGTCGACGTAGACTCCACCTGATTGCTTCACGGGGAACTCGATCAAATGCTTTTTCAAGGTCTACAAAAATGTGTGATAGTTTTTGATGCTTTGCGAGGTACTTCTCTTGCAGTTGCCGAAGGATGTGAATTGCATCAATTGTTGATTTTCCCGCTAGAAATTGCACGACGTTAATCTTCTTTCAATGATTTTCTCGACAATTTTCAGGGAGTGTTCTAACAGACGTATACCCCGATATAATGAACAGTTCAATGGATCACCTTTGCCTTTGTATAGTGGGACCGTCATGCTATAGTTCCATTCAGTCGGCATTGAGCAATTTCTCCAGATTTCACGGCAAATTTGTAGTAACGTTTGGATACCTGCAGTACCAGATGCTTTGATAATGTCATTTGTGAGTCCAGAGGGCCCTGCCGCCTTTCCATCCTTCATAGCTTTCAGAGCTTCTGTAAGCTCCTCTATCGGGATGTCTGGAATCGGACCTTTGTTGGATGGAGCGTCAAAGTTAACATTGATGGGATTTGTTTCATTTAACAGACGGTTGAATTATTCTCTCCACTGTAGCTTGATCTCATCTTATTCAAGAACCATCTCAAATGCCACATTCTCCGAGGCATTTGTTCAGACTTATGTTGTGACAGTTCGACAACCAGGTCTGCCACAAGGTGTCTATGTTGGGCGACATATGATTCGCCAGGTATTTTTGAATACAAGACATTTTTGAATAGCCTTCGGTGTTGTTGCTTGACAGCGAAGAAATCAATTTGCGTGGCTGATGTGTTCAGTAAACAAAACCCGTGACTTTCAACAAACTCAAGGATGCGGTTGCCATCTCCATTCCGTTCTCCATAGCTAAAACCGCCATGTACGTTGTACAGAACGTTGTACACTTATGACAATGTATATAAAATCCTAATATTCTAATAAATTCAAAAATTAAATAAAAAAGATTAAGCTGAAAAAAAACTAGTTCTAACTAAGTCAAGATGGAATAAGAAAATAGCAAAATAATAAAAAATGTTTGTTTTGGTGATATGTCAATAATAAAGAAATAGAATGAATGACATAAATAGAATGAATGTAATAAATGTCTAAATTAATAACAGCTTTAAATCACTTTGATTTTTCTCCACCTATGGATGTTTAACGGATTTTCCAACTCATCTTCTAAGACTTTACATCTAGTTCTGACTAAAAGATTTTCTTGCTGAATTCTAAATATTTCTCGCCTGGAGATGAAAGCATTTATAAATTCACCAAATTTAATTTTTTTCACATAAAACACAATGTGAGTATCTAAATATATATTTTAAAGTTTATCAACAGATGAACCGGATTTTGGTAAACACGAAGTTTTCAAGAGAAAAACTTTCTATTTATAAAACTATAATAAGGAAGTTGCTTTTAATAATTTCAAAAAACAATTTGCTTTTTTAAATAAATAGTTAAAATTCATTAAAATATTTTGTTAAATTTTATTGACGTAACGTTCAGTTACATTTTCATTATTTCATTCTCATTATTGAAATAAATATATTTTGTTATTTACATAAAACTGTCAACGAAATATCTAAAATATACCAGCCTTTTGTCTTCCATGGTCTCCAACCCTTTAGACATGTAAAGATTTGTACATCTCAGTTTGCGAACTTCCATTTTAAGTATGCGTATGTCTTCAAGTCTTCTATTATAAACAATTTGGCCTTTGTTCAACTTGTCTTCAAGCAGTTTCAACTTTTCATAAAGTAAGGCTATTTCATCATTTCGTCGTACAAGTTGACTTCCAATAATATTTTTATCAGATATAATCTTCAAATGGTAATGTAATTTTTCAGATATTAACGTGATGTATAAGATGAAAAATTCATTTGATATTTTCTGTTCAAGCTAAAACACAACTATTTATTGTACATAAAGATTGTCAGTCAGACGTTTTGGAAATGAATGTTGAAAATTACTTTTACTTACGTTGTAAACACGAATTTTCAAAAATACAGTGTATATAAGGCCTGGTTCGACCTAAGTTGGAGTACTGTGTTTAGCTTTGGAATCCAGATATGCAAAAGAACAGACAGACATATGCTTGGAAAATTTCAAAGAGGGTCGCGAAAATGATCAAAGAGTGTCACGGTATGTCGTTTGAAGACATATTGAAAGTTTGTAGTTTGACAACATAAGAAAAAAGATGGACAAGAGGAGATTTAATTAACGCATACAAATCATCACTGTGAAGGAGAATTTGGAATCAGTAAAGTTTTTTGAGCTTAAGATGAACAGAAAAGTAAGGGGGCATAAATATAAGATCTTTAAAAAAGCTCGGGATCAATAAACCAAATTTTTTCAGCAGTAGAGTTGTCAATGAAACAACGTCCTACCTCGGGGAACCGGGTCTCTGGACGCAAAACGAAGATTGAGTGATTGATTGATTAGTAGAGTTGTCAATGAATGGATCCAACAGGGTGATGAAATAATACGCGCAGAAACAACTAATAACTCAAGGCACTACATAAAGGTTTTTTAACATAGGGTTAATGGTTAAAAGGTTAAAGATTTCTCTCTCTCTTTTGCGTTTGCTTCAGAGGTTTCAACAACAAACACACACAGCGTATATGAATACGCGTGCAAACCACGCATCATACACATTGCATATGATAGGCGGGGATCTCTTTGTATTCGAACCCAGTCATTGCAATAGCAAGACCAGGCGCCTTTAACCATCGAGCCATAACGCCGATAGGGGCATTTGTCTTAATAAAAACATTGTTGGTCCATGACTGTGCAAGTTGGTAACGAATAAGTAAAAATTTGAGCTGACGAATAAAACATTATTTCGCTTAATTTAGCATACCACAGTATAGAGAGTCAATTTTTCCCTCTTAGTATAATTTACATCTTTATAACGCTTTGTTACATCTATGGAAATTCGGCCACAAAAAATAATAATTGTGTAACAATGCAAAAAATTGTAAACATAGATATAAGAACTAATACCAATTTTCTATATCTATGGATTGATTACCTACCTTCCAGTATTTTTTAAACGTAAATAAATAAAAACTAAAATGTTTTCGAAAATATCATATTTGATCATAAATATTGTTTTACATTTTTAAGGCAAAAATTTAAAAAAAATTTTGGGAGTCGAAAGCGGAATTCGGGAGCTGGGAAACTTGTAATAAAAAAGTTAGAGTAATTTTGGAAAAATACATATAAATTTTTAAACTAAAACTAAACATTTTAAACTACACGGTTGACTAACTGCATTTGAACATGAAAGTAAAGTTAATCAATTAATAACCCTTTGTCTTTCTTTTAAAAAACTCATGCTCTTTTGTTCAATTTGTTCAATTTCATCCAATAGTTTAATATTTTCTTGCTCCTTGTGTTTAATAACTAAGGATTGTTTTTTAACCACTTTTCGCAATTTTATATTCAAATCCTGTACCAAAAAATATAACAAAAATAACAAAATATAAAACAACAATGAAATTAATCGGTAAGATTTAAATTAAAAAAAAATAATAAAATAAAAAAACAAAACATAAAAGAGATGAAAAAATTAGAGAACAAAAATTGTTAAAATAAAAAATTTATTATTACTTTGTAATTTTCAATATTTTTTATTAACTGTTGATTCCCATGACGTTCTTTCAGCAGAGCAGCATCCTTGTAAGATGTTTGCTCTCGAAGTTGATCAACCTGATGAGTTGTCAACTGGCTTTGCTGCTTCATTTCATAAGCTTCAGCCTTTAAGCAAAACGAACGATTATAAATTTATATCCAAAAATTGATGTAAATATTTGGTTGCATTATGTGTAAATTTCAAAAGTCAACTATTGGAAAAAATCATCATTATGGAAAATAAAGTATAATAGATTTCATGAAACGTGCGGTCTATAACTTTCAGTGTATATTAGACTCATAGATAGAATAACATATATAGAAAATTCCTTATTGTCGTTACTTACGCTCTGTAAAAATAATCCGTAACAACTTTAGAATCTTTGAAAAAAATAAATATTATTCATTTGAAATTTTTGTAATATACGTTTTTTTATTTTAATGTATTATGTTTTTTGTTTTTTCATACATTCTTATTAACGTTAAAATAATTTCAGAAGTTATATTTTATAAATGTCGTAAAAACAATTACAGTTTATTATCTTGTACAAAGTATACAGTTAAAATTTAAGCGCTTGATTATCTATGCCATTAAACCTGGAAATAAAAACATTTTTTATAGCACTAATTGCCATTGGATTCATTTTATGTTTGCATTGAAAACTTTATCCAGAAAAATTTATATTTGTATGCTTTAACAAATTCAAATATACTAAAGAGATTCAACTGCTATTTAGTGGCAAACAAGCAAGAAAAATTGTCTCAAGTAACGTTTTTCTCCAATTTTTGCAAATCATGCATCAATCCAGAACACCGCTGTAAGCTTGGTTTTTTTCATGTCAATTTATATAGTTCATAAATGTATATTTGTTGTTTTCCAACAATAATTGGTGTTACTATCACATATAATCCAAAATTAAATGCCATCATACCTTGATGTAGAAGTTAGTATTGCCTAAATAACGGTTACACATAATCCACACTTGAACGTTTCTTTTTTCAAACTGGAATTACGCAACTCAAAAACTTCTCTTATGAGTTGCAATTTGTCTGGACTTTCTGAGCGAGTAAGCCTAATCGAATTTTATTACTCTAAAAATATGTTGAAGCCTATTTCTGGACATTATCTAAAACAATATAACAATATATAAAACTCCCATAAAACTCTCGCAGTCTAGCGCAGAGTTCAAGTGACTCCCGTGGTAATTGGCGCTAAAATTTTATCAAAATTGCATCAATTATGGTTTCCTTCCAGCCTATATATATATATATATATATATATATATATATTGAACTTTGATGCGAATTAGGTGTCAGGTTTCTTTATTGGCTGATCATCTTCTTTGGTCTCCTTTTCTTCATCATATATATATATATATATATATATATATATATATATATATATATATATATATATATATATATACATTTACAATATTCTATAAATTCTACCGAATGTTTGGCGTTAATATGTTTGTAGTTCGTTTTTTCGATTTTTCTCACTAAAGTTTTTTGGTGAACGTTTAGTTTATTAAATTCAAAATA